CTATTTTGTTGGATATGATGAACGCTCTCGGGGCTTTAAGTTTTATAATCCCACTACAAGATCCTTTTTTTGAGACGGGAAATGCCAGATTCCTTGAAGATGTTGAGTTTGAGGGGGAAGATAAAATAAGGAATGTTGTCTTTGATGAGGAAGAAAATTATATTTCTCTTCCTAATATTGTCATCATACAAGATGCAATCACAGAACAAGAAATTAATGATCAGGTCCCTGTTCATGACATTGTTATGGAACAGGCTTTGGTCCCTGACATTGCTTTGGGTCAAGACAATAATGAACCACCCCCTATGCCACCTATAGAACAAACTCAAGAAGTGTCATTAAGGAGATCCACCAGAGAAAGGAGAAATGCAATTCCGGATGATTATATTGTGTTTCTTCAAGAGCATGAAAATATTTTAAGCTTGAAGGAAGATGATCCAATCAACTTCCAACAAGTCTTAGAAAGCTCTAATGCTCATAAATGGATTGATGCCATGAAAGATGAGATGCAATCTATGAAAGACAACGATGTTTGGGATCTTATTGAGTTGCCTAAATGTGTGAAACCCATTGGTTGTAACTGAATATTTAAAACTAAAAGGGATTCAAATGGCAACATCGAAAGATATAAGGCACGTCTAGTTGCTAGAGGTTTCACTTAGAAAGAAGGCATAGACTATAAAGAGACTTTCTCTCCGGTTTCTACGAAGGACTCTTTTAGGACAATAATGGCGCTTGTGGCTCATTTGGATTTAGAGCTACATCCGATGGACGTAAAGACAGCGTTTTTCAATGGTAACATTGATGAGACAATTTATATGGTGCAACCAGAAAACTTTGTATTGGGAGATTCAAAGTCTATGGTTTGCAAATTGAAAAAGTCCATCTATGGCCTTAAGCAAGCTTCTCGTCAGTGGTACCATAAATTCCATCAGGTTATTATCTCCTATGGCTTTGAGGTGAACTTAGTGGAAGATTGTGTGTATCACAAGTTCAGTGGGAGTAAATTCATATTCCTGATACTATATGTTGATGATATCTTACTTGCCAGTAGCGATATAGGCTTATTGCATGAAACCAAGAAACTTCTCACTAAAAATTTTGAGATTAAGGACCTTGGTGAGGCATCTTTTGTCTTAGGAATACAGATACTTCGAGATCGCGCTCAAGGTATCCTATGGTTATCACAAAAGGCCTACATTGAAAAGATTTTGGATAGATTTGGCATGAAGGATTGTACGTCAGGAGATACGCTCATATCTAGAGGAGACAGGTTTAGTCTCGCCCAATGCCCTAAAGGTAAGCTTGAGATGATAGAAATGACAAAAGTACCTTATGCTTCGACAGTAGGAAGCCTTATGTATGCCCAGGTTTGTACTCGCCCCTGATATAGCATTTATAGTGGGAATGTTAGGAAGATACTTGAGCAATCCAGGAATGGATCATTGGAAAGCAACCAAGAGGGTTATGCGGTATTTAAAGAGAACAAAAGATTATGCTTACATATCGGAGGTCAGATGAATTAGAGATCGTCGGATATACTGACTCTGATTTTGCTGGATGCCGAGATAGTAAAAGATCCACGTCAGGTTATGTCTACATGTTGGCTGGAGGAGTTATTTCTTGGAAGAGTGTTAAACAGACACTCGTAGCTTTCTCTACTATGGCCGCTGAATTTGTAGCTTGTTTTGAGGCATCCAACCATGGGGTATGGCTGCGAAACTTTGTCACAGGGCTGCATTTAGTGAGTGGTGTTGAAAGGCCACTGAAGATTTATTGTGACAACAAGTCAGCAGTGTTTCTGCTTTGTGTATGCATAAAATTTAGGATTGATCTCATAAAGATTAAAGTAGGACCAGTTGGAAATAGGCATGGTAAGATCACATTGCATGTAATTTCCATGCCACTCATCCATACTTGATTTATGTCATTGAATATATTGGTGCGATGACCATGGAAGGTTTAGTTACGCTTTAAATTGACAAAAGCCGCCATTATCTCATATTGATATAGGAGGTGGACCAGATTGTATCTAAGGATCTAAAGAAAAATAGCATACAGTTGCGCACTAAAGATATATGATATAATTATCTCAAGTTAATATGTGGCCCAAGTGGGAGATTGTTAGGAAATTATATTTTCTAATAATCATTGTGGGTCACATATTATATTAACAATTATATTGTGCTATTTAGATATATTGGGTAAATTAAAGTGATCAGTTAAATATTTTCAAATAGATTCCTAAGTGAGTATGGGCTGAATGAGTGGATACCGGTGTTGGGCCAACTAGGTATAATGGGAGCTTATTGGCCCAACAATAAAGATAAAAACACTATAAGGGTTATGATCCCCAAGACGTCAAATAACAACCCTAGTTTCTCTTCCCCATCAAGAGAGAGACGACACACTAAGGAATTTAGTTTTAGGGTAATTTGACTGAGGAAGACTACAAACCCCAAGAGACAAGATCAAAGTTATTCCGCTGCAATAGAGACATGTATGCCTCCACCTTTATGTTCTTATTTCTTTATGATTTGGTATGATGGAGTTTGGCTTGTAGGTGATAGTTATCACCAAAAGGTTTAGAGGAATTAAAAAATTTCTAACATAATGTGTTTAAAACTTGGTAGGGAGAACTTTGCTGCCCATATAATCCTACCTTGCTCGAATTGGACTAGTTGAGTAATCCATGAACTTATGGATAATATGAAAATAAATAAAGGTTGTCTAGCTTGCGAAACAAGTATAAAGTTGCATTCCTTCATGACTTGGATGAGACCTGTATATTCATTATTTGCAGGTTGGTTTCTGTAATCTTATAAAAAAGGAAAAGGACTATGCAAACCATATATGGGTTGCTGATGCCACTGAAACCTCGACCTATTATTTGGATTTCGATTCCCCGCACTGTTCTCACCTCAGAAACGCTGCCAGCTCCATCAGAAGATGGGCAAATAATTCTTGCTTGGTATGCACCATGTAACTCTACCGTATAAAAACTTGTTCTGCGGTGCCATTGCTTATAATGATATCTTGTTTCATCTTTTCTGCAGACAATAGAGAAACTCAAGGAAAAGGTATTGTATGTGGTTGGCAATTGTAAAGCCTAGAAGGAGAAAAACTCAACTAAAGATGTGGCTATATATATGTCGCTCTATTGTCTATGTAATATTACCGAGTATCGGAAATCTATGACATGACATCATCTAAAAGTTATCCGGTCTTTAACTTCTCAGCATCATCACCTTATAGTTTCCGTAGAGATTTCCCTTTTCTGGATGCTTTTTCTCTCGTTTACTGCTGCTAACACCCTACTACTACATATAACATCTCTAATCATCAATATTGAAGATGATGTTGGAATTGTGATCCAACATTTATTCCACCACAATGGAAATGATCACCCATGGGCTATGGCATTTAAAAAGTTTTTTTTTTCTAAAAAAAAATATAGAGTATTAGAAACAAAATATGAGAAATGGAAACTCAGTGAAAATAATACAATTTTTTAATTGTAAGCTGTAGAAAATCCGGCACATTTATTGTTTGTTATCTCATGTCATCCCCAAAATTTCGTAGCTCTGGAAAATTCGTGACGGGGGAACATTATTAATGAGCTAAGTGGATTAAATACACTAAGTGAGTCCGATATTATATCTCCATATAAAATCTCAAAGCATTTGATTTATGGGTTTATCTATTGATATATATTTTTTAGTTCATTATTAATCAATATGGAGCTCATCACATTTATATATCTCAATAGACTAAAGGTAATCCTTGTAACTTAATTTGACATATATATATTATAGTTCGAATTTATGATCTTATGCATATTACCCACACTCTTTAGAACTAGACAATCCTAGTAGCTTAATTTGCCATATATTTTATTTGGGTAAAACATTTGTCCTTTTAAAAGATATAATTTTTCACACGGAAAAAATAAAATAATTTGTGTCATTTTAGATTGTATGCATTGATTTTTGTCAATCAATGGTTATAATTTATTGCGAAATACTGATTAATTAATAAGTTTGACCCAATAAATTATAAAGCAAATTTATTCTTGATACAATATTATTCATGGACGATGATCATAATATTGAAAACATCTCATGAGATCTACTGTACTCTGTTTTATGGTCATGGTCTTTCAAAATTGAGGTTCTAGACCTCCATTCACTGTCTTTTAATGGAATTTTAGATCTACTTTTAATTTGGAACGCTTATATTTATCACTATTTTAAGTTTATTGCTCTTACTATCTCTTTTGTTGTTGTTAAATTAATTTGATTAATAATCTGAAATCAATGACGATTAATTTTTTATCCTTTTCAATGGTAGATTTTGAATTGATACGATAATTAAAGAGGTAATAAGAGTCCTAAGTCTAAAATAATGGTAATTCTTTTAAATTACGTTATTAATGAAATTATTTTTAAATCTGGCTTGATTTCAAAATAATGAACATAGACGCAAAGGAAAACTCTAAATATTGCAGAATTAGTAATATTTACTTCCTCACTACATAGAACCAGTGAGTAGTGACATTGTATTTTTTATTGAAAAGTATTATTGAAAATGAAGCCAGACATTTCAATCCTCGTCTTTGATTTCCAACCTTACAAAAGAAAAGAGAAAAAAATAAATAAACCAAAATGAAAAATAATTTTGTAAATACTGCATATAAGTTATTTGTATTTACTTTCAAAATGACGTCGTTTTGAGATTGAAATATTAAAAAATTATAATTATAAAAATTATAATAATCTTGAAATAAATTAAAATTATAAAAATACTATAATTTTTGTCCAAAATAACATCATATTAAATTTATTGCAGATAATAAAAAAAAGCAAACCGTGAATCAAAACATTAAACGAAAGAATTGAATTTAAAATGCAGAAAGTTAAATAAGTTTTATAATTGTCCATATACGCCGTCGTGCTAGTAACTCAATAGTCAATATATCATTTTACCATTATCGAGGAGTCTTTGCCTTTCTTCCTTCAGTTTCTCTCTTTTACTTGTTGCCCTAACCCTTACTGGTTCCTTCAGTTTCCTTCCTTTCTTCCCGCCATATCTTATTTTCAAAGCCCTCGTTTCGCTGTAAGTTACTTTCTCCTATCCCTCTGACACCGTTTCATTATATTGTTTTCTTTTGTTTTTTGTTTTTCATTCTATGGTGAGTTTGTTGACGTTGAATAACTACATTCTCTTCTGAACTGCTTAATGTTTATTATCTTATCGTTTTAGGAGAATGGAGTATCCAGCTATTTTACCACACTCTAATCTGAATGAAGAAACTCTGATTGTCGACAAGAAGTCCAAGAGGAACAACAAAAATGCTGTAAAGAAGAGAAAGAGGTTGACTGAAGTTCGAATAGTTTCCTCTTATTTCTCTAGCTCAAAAGGAGGTGAACGGGTTGAAAAAGCCAAGAGGAAATCCAAAAATTTGAAAGCAGAACATTCAGCTAGTGTGAACTATGTTTCTTCTTCTCGAAAGGTCTCTCCATACTTCGAGAAGGGGCCTAAAATAGAAGAAAGTACATTGGAAAATAAATCTAGTGGCCTAAACTATGTTTCTTCTTCTCGAAAGGTCTCTCCATACTTCGAGAAGGGGCCTAAAATTGAAGAAAGTACATTGGAGAACAAAAATGCTGAAAAAAAAGTTCGAATAGTTTCCCCTTATTTCTCGTGCTCAGAAGGATGTGAACGGGTTGAAAAAGCCAAGAGGAAATCGAAAAATTTGAAAGTAGAAGATTCGGCTAGTGTGAACTATGTTTCTTCTTCTCGAAAGGTCTCTCCATACTTCGATAAGGGGCCTAAAATAGAAGAAAGCACATTGAAAAATAAATCTAGTGGCAGTGAAAAACCGATTACAGTTAAAAGAACCCTTTCGGCTTCTGAGAAGCGGGATGAGGCATATGAAAGAAGAACTCCTGATAACACATGGAAGCCTCCGCGGTCTGAGATTGTTCTCCTTCAAGAGGATCACGTTCATGACCCTTGGAGGGTGTTGGTTATATGCATGCTTCTCAACAGAACTACCGGTCGGCAGGTATATTCATGTATTCGCCTACTGATTTAATAGCATCTGGATATTTGATTCTTTGCATAATGTTTTTCCCAATTTAGCCCCTATTCTGGGACAATGTTTTACTATTGGCCTTGGCATTCATATACCATGCTATTGTATCTTTCTATTTGAATAAGTACTGTTTGGAGGAACAAGCATGTTTCTCACTCTAATATTTGTAGCTGTTATACATGAGCAGTGCCCTTCATCTGTTGGTCTGCTTTAAAAGGCTCTGTAACTTGAGGCTATAGATCTCTTTTTTGGGTTTCTAAACTGTTTATTATGTGGGTTACCAAAGCAATGCTGTATTGTCATCTTTGAAACAAGAGCCCAGCGGTTATCATTCAGGTGTCAAGTTCTTGATATGTTTAGGGAGAGATTAAAATATATTTGGGAAATATTTGTAGAGCATTGCGGAATATAAATACCACTCTTTTCACAAAATGAGGTCCTTTTGCTTGATTGTTGACTATATATAGTTTTCATTATTATTGGAAGGACATTTGGGTGGGGAGTGTTCCTTTTAAACTTTATAGAGGATTTTGCCTCGCTTTTTTACTCTATCCACTCTTAGTAATTTGCACAATACTCTTATTCTGTTTAAAATCATTCGTCCTATTGAGTTTCATTTCCTTACAGATTTCAATTATTGAGAGTATAGCTCTTGTGGATTTACTTGAGTGTTCTTCTCTCTGAACCAAACTATGTAATTTAGACATGGGATTCTTCTGTTGTTTTCTCTTGCAAGTCTTTTTTTTCAATTTCTTACTCATACTTCTAACTTTCGAAGTTTCCTCCTTGAAAAACTCATTTGAAATCCTAGGCTCTCTCTAAGGTCAAGTATTTTGTTTAGACATCCATACATAACAGGGTTGACACAAATGACTTTCTTCGGATTCATACATCATTTTTCACTCTTTTTCCGGATTTGTATGTCATGTTCTAGTGGAGCGCAGAGGCTAATAGAAAACAGGAGAATTTGATAGAAAGTGAAAGTGAGACAGAGAGCTTTGAGAGAATCTATTATTTGCAGGTGCATGATCTATGTTCCCGGACATTGCATCGGACAAAGTACACTTTCTATTCTTCTCCATTCTTGCTTCCTGTGCAAGAAACTAAGCTTTGTATGGATCCATTCTGATGATCATGGATGTAATGCATGCATTATATTCTTTTGAAAACTCTTCCCCAATAATATTAATATGGTCTCTAGATGAGATTGGATCACCTATGGACAGATTGCATGAGAGAATCCGCAATAACCTTTATTCTGAGTTGATACTCTGAGAGCGTTCTTCCTCTTTTTTAGATGTTCCAAATTTCAGATCTCAACTGTCATGTCTTTGCTGAAATTAGGGCTTTGATACCGTAATAGAAAAGGAGATAAATTGACTGAAAGTGGAAAGGGAGAGAATGAGCTTTGAGAGAATTGCAGAATCCATCCCCTATTCAGAACAACCAGAATTTAAACAAATTTTTAGACTAAACTAACAGAACTAACTCATAACTAACTGTCTAATAATTAACTTCTACAACCGTCATTAACAGACTAACGATAACAGACTCAGCTGACTGTAACAGTGATGGCATTATACAGGATATATTCTAACCAGTGTTTTAAAACCCGGCTCGGACCGGCCGGGTCGACCCGGGACTCGGTGACCCGGTGGGTTCCCCGGTCCGAGCGGGTAGTTGGACCGGTTATGCAGTCAGCCCGGATTGGACCGGTTGACCCGGCCGAAACCCGGTGACCCGGTTGACTCGGGTTAAACCGGTTTTTTTTTTTGGTAAAATATTTTGTTGTTGATAAGAACTCTTGAATTAAATCATATTAATATTTTATGATGAATATGATTAAAAGTAAGGTGAAAATAATAAGGTATTTTAGATTAGTGTAGTTCGTTTATGTAATTTAGTTGCATCTTATAATGATCTCATGAAGTTAAGTGGTGATAAACACTGATGGTCTCATGATCTCATCTCAACGGTGGACACTTTTTTCTTATAGTGTATATTTCATGCATACTATTTGTTATCATAATTTAATTTATCCGTATCATGTCAAGCACAAAAAGTGCATTTAACTTATATTGCATGGTTTAATCCAATATTAGGATACGGTCTAGAGCTAGAAGCTTAGAAGTATATAATATTTGCTATCATTGAAAACCAATTTGTTTCTTGAAGCTCATTGATAGTTTTCTTATATGAATTTTTATTAATATAAGTAATATTTTTATATTTTTAATATGTGAACAGTAAAACCGGTTCAACCCGGTTGAACCCGGTTGAACCAGTGACCCAGTACCTCGACCGGTTCGATTACCGGTCCGAGTTTTAAAACACTGATTCTAACAGAGACAGAGGACCACTTATTAATGCAAAGTAAGCTGGCTACTCTGCTGCAACCTTTTCAGGATTTAATGTAAAGATTTTGGTTAAACAAGGACTAAGATTTTATGGCAGTGCACATTTTATGCAATCTTCTGGTGTGTGTTGGAGAAGAAAACTTGAATCTTTAATGGTGTTTCTTAATTTCTTTGCTGATAATTTTGATATGTGATAAGATTTATATTTTTGGGTTTCTTTGTAATATTCTGCCCGTGGATACTTCAAGGGTGCTGTTATCTACGATTTCCATTACGATTGTGAAGCCTTGTTGCATACTTTGTTTTATTCTGTTTTTCTTGGCTTTTTTTGGTTGTCTAAAGTCTTTTCTTTGTTGGATATTTTCTTATCCTCCTGCTATCACCTTTAATCCAACCTTGTTGGGTTTGGCAGCCATCGAATCCATTAAAAGCAAGAACAAATTAAGGAAAAATAAATATTAAATGGGAAAAAAACTTATATTTATAATAGAAAAATAAAATAAAATAAATAAATACATAAAAAAAAATTATTTTTTCAGAGAGAGAGAAGGAGAGAGAGAGGGAGAGAGAGTGGAGAAGAAAAAAAGAAAAAAGTTAATGGTGCAAATTCTATCTTTTCACAAATATTTTTCGTCTGATGCATAGAAATCTTTGTTGAAAATTAGATTTCTTCACTGCATATTTTTACTATGTTGGGGATGTGGTGATTATGACATGGATGTACCTTCTATTCGTGTTATGATATTTACCAAGTTTCATGATTTATGATATTTACCAAGTTGATAAGGTCTCAGTATAAAAAAAATCTTCATTAGGTTTTTCTCGAGTTGGTTATTTGATATTTAAGTGTGTCAATTCATTTATGATATTCTTCGGGTAATGTCAATTAGATGGGTGCATGGTTTGAGAATATGGTAAATTAGGAATCAGGACACCTAGTCAATTTAATTCCCAGGATCTCCTATGCCACCTTGTTCTCTAAGGTGAAGATGGTGCCATTAGAACTAGTGGTCATTTGCAGGAGTGTAATTTGTGCTTTTGTTAAAACATCCTATTGTGCATATGAGGTTTTCATTTAATTATCGTATGTTGGTGTGTAAAAGTTTAAATTATATGGATGCATGTACTGATTTAAGATAGATTATTTTGCAAAATGCAGGTAAAAAAGGTTTTACCAAAACTGTTCAAGTTATGTCCAGATGCAAGATCTTGTACACGAGTGTCAAATGAGGTAATTTCAGAGATAATAAAGAGTCTAGGTTTTCGAAATAAAAGGGCACTTATGTTACGGCGGTTCTCTGAGGAATACTTGGAGGAAAGATGGACACATGTAACTCAACTCCATGGTGTTGGCAAGTATGTCATGTTGTGTTCTTTTCTATGAGTGCATGTGTGCCCTTTTATTTTTATTTTTTTATTTAGGTAAATCTATGTTTCTCTTTTTTCCCCCTATGATAATACTAAATCTCTCTCAATTAGGTATGCAGCGGATGCATATGCTATATTTTGTACAGGAAAGTGGGATCGAGTGAGACCTGCAGATCACAAGCTAAACGAGTATTGGGAATGGCTCTGTGAAATTCAAGCATAAATTGTGAAAGACATTGGATGAAAAAATGAAATTCCTAAATTATTCATATTGGCGTCTGTCTCTTTGTATTTGTGTACTGATGATGGGAAAGTCCATATTTGCCTCTTAACTTTTTATGCTTTTTTCTTTTTGTGTATCTTTTTTCTTTTGTCAAAGGCTTAGAGGTAGACAAAAGATATCCTTGTTTTTTGGCAAGCGCAAGTCCAAAGGTTCAATTTTTAAAAAATTTCTATGCAATGTTTAGAAGAATATTCTGCTACGCAGCTTTGTTAAGACAATTCAATTGCTTTTTATTTTAAAATGTACGAAATTTTTATTCTTTATCCTATGGGGCATTTGGTAGAGGAGAATTTTTTTTTATCGGGAAAACTCAATTAATAGGAATATGATAGGAAAGTAAGTTAGATAGAAAAGTTTAAAAAAAGTTGTTTGGTTGACTAAAATATTATCAGGCAAATTGATTTACATTTTCAGAGTTCATATTTGGTTAAATGTAAAATATTGATGGGAAAAAGAGTTGAAATGATAAAAATAACTCTTTAATCTTTTTTAAAAACAACCTTTGCGTATTAAGTAAGTTTGTCGTAACATGTCTTCTACCAATGTCAATATTTTTCAAATCTCTGTCTTTATCTCTGTCTCTCCTTTCTCTAGTCGCCATGCATGTCTCCAGCACGGTGAGGTGGTGGTGTGAACTCTGAGTCAACAGCCACAAACAAACTTTGACATTAGGGCGGTGTTAATTTCTGACTGACTGATTAATTTCTGAAGGAAGTCATCATCCAGATTCAACATTAATTTTTATAATTTTATTCCTTTGGGACAAACGGGCTTCATGGAGCCATAAAAGTAACAATACTAATTTACATAATCATCCTTTCAAATTCTATAGATATATATAGTTCAATGAAAATTCGGAAGGTGGCTTTTGACAATGAAGTTATGTTTCATGACTGAAATTTGAAGTGTGATGATTGAGGCATGACAACATTATAACAGATTGAAGAAGAGGGTATTGTCGTCAGATTTTTTACTATTAATTTATCTTAATATTCCCCTATCCATCTCCTCTTTTTTTATTTTCGTCTGATCTGGATATGTCCTGTTAATCATGAGCTTGTGCTGCATTTTTGTTCTCGCGGTATTACAATCCAAAGAACTCAAAGAATACATGAAAAAGAAAGTAATGATTCTCATTTATGAATTGAACAGTACATCGATATATATATATACAAAGAACTGAAGAAAGCTAGAAAAACTAATTGAACTAACTTTCTGTAAATATGGGAACTACTTTCAACTAATTAACAGAAGATAGTTAGCACATAAATAACACACGTGGCATAAGTGCCTTCTGCATTACTTTTATCAGCCCCCCTCAAGGTGGGAGATGTGCATCAAACAGCCCCAACTTGCCAACTAAGTCCTTGAACATCCTTGGAGCTAATGGTTTAGTGAATGAATCTGCCAACTGTTCAGAACTCGAAACAGGTAACAAATGAATGAGCCCACTAGTAATTTTCTCCCTAACAATATGACAATCTATCTCTATATGTTTTGATCTCTCATGGAAGCTTGGATTATGAGCCAAATGTATAGCAGAACGATTGTCACAGAAGACTACCATTGGTTGTATTAATTGGATTCCCAAATCATTGAGAAGATACTTGAGCCACTGCAATTCACATGTTAAACTTGCAAGTGCTCTATACTCGGCTTCAGAAGATGAACGAGATACAATATTCTGCTTCTCTGATCTCCATCCAATCAAGGAAGATCCAAAGAATAAGCAGTATCCAGTAATTGAATGCCTTGTATCTGGACAAGTTGCCCAATCCGAATCTGCGAATGCACTGATTTTGGATTCATTCTTAGCTATATAGAAAAGACCCTTTCCTGGGGTTCCCTTAAGGTACCTCAAAACCCGAGTTGCAGCCTGCATATGAAGATCAGTGGGGCTCCCAACATGCTGCCTCAATTGTTGAACAGCATAGCTAATATCAGGTCGAGTTGTTTTAGGTAGAGCAGTCTCCCAACCAACCTTCTATAGCTACTAGGATCTGTGCAAGGCTGACCTTTATCCTTTTCTAGTTTTGTTCCAAACTCCATTAGAGTAGAACATGGTTTAGATCCTAGAAATCCTCCATCAGAGACTATCTCAAGTGCATATTTTCTTTGGTTAACAGCAATTCCACTTGGAGTGCGAATTATTTCTAAACCAAGAAAATAATGAAGTGCACCCAAGTCTTTAATTCGAAACTGGTCATCAAGAAATTGCTTGACATACCTGATATCCCCCTCATCATTCCCAGCTAGGACTATATCATCTACATAGATGAGAAGAGCTGTGAATGAGCCAGTATTTGACTTAGTGAGAAGAGAGTGATCTGCCTCAGACTGATTGTAGCCAATGGACTTCAAGGCAGAAGTGAGTTTGGAATACCACTGTCTACTAGCCTGTTTCAAGCCATACAAAGACTTCTGCAATCGACAAACTTGAATGGTCTTGGAGCATGGGAAGCCAGGAGGTAACTCCATGTACACCTCTTCATTCAAATCCCCATGAAGGAACGCATTGTTGACATCCAGCTATTCTAGGATCCACCCATTTGTGGCTGCAACTGCAAGAAGGGTTCTGATTGTTGTGATCTTATCAACTGGGGAAAAAGTATCCAAGAAGTCAACCCCCTCAAGCTGAGTGTAGCCCTTTGCAACTAGACGAGCCTTATAGCGCTCAACATGACCATTAGCATGGTATTTCACTTTGAAAACCCATTTGCACCCAATCGGTTGCTTGCCAGAAGGGAGATCAGTGAGAAGCCAAGTATGATTCTGTTCTAAGACAGCGATTTCTGCATTCATAGCATCACGCCAACATTGATCCTTAATAGCTTCAAAGTATGTGCGTGGCTCAGCAATGGTTTGAAGGTTGAAACACAAGGTTTTGTGAGGAATGGAGCATCTGTCATAAGAAAGGACATAAGAAATAGGGTATGTGGCAGTAGAAGTAAGGGAACAATGAAAATCCTGGAGATATATGGGAGGTCTTCTGGGACGAGTGGATTGTCTATTGGATTGTGTAATGGGAGGTAGGGAGGGTACATGTATATGGTTGTCATTAGAAAGTGGGTTTGGATTAGGTGAGGTAGGTAGAGTGTCTAATAAAGGTGAGGAAAAAATAGTCTCATCAGGAATGGCTAAGTCACGGGTAGCAGTTGGTGAAGTGATTTGGGGACTTGGAATGAAAAAGTCATCGGTTAAGGGTGTAGTAGGACTAGGCATGACAAGAGCATTATCACAGCTAGTGGTATTGTCATGAGCAGAAAGTGGGAAACAGTGCTCATGGAAAGCTACATTGCGAGAAATGAAGATGCCTTTAGAATGAAGGTCATATAATACAAATCCCTTGGTCCCATCACTGTAACCCAAAAATATGCACTTTCGAGCCCGTGAGCTAAACTTGTTTCTGCTGGAAGATAATGTGCTGGCAAAGCACAAGCAACCAAAAACCCTCAGGTGAGTTAAGTCAGGTTGAGCATTAAAAAGAAGCTCATATGGAGTGCTATTCTGTATTAAAGGGCTACTCAGTCGATTGATTAAATGCACAGCTTGTAGGATTGAAAATGACCAAAATTTCAAAGAGATTTTGGCTTGGAACATCAAAGAACGTGCTATGCTAAGGAGGTGTTGGTGTTTCCTCTCTACTACACCATTTTGCTGAGGACATTCCACACAAGAAGTTTGGTGGATGATTCCTTGACTAGCATAGAAATCTCTCATGAAAAACTCTTGTCCATTATCACTCTTTATTGTCTTAATGGATGCATCAAATTGAGTTTTAATCAGTGCAACAAAGTTCTGCAAATGTTTTCTGGTTTCCCCTTTATTTTGCATTAAAACTACCCAAATGTATCTTGAGTAGTCATCAACAACGGTCAGAAAATATCTGTATCCAGTAAGGGAAGGGACAATAAATGGTCCCCAAATATCTACATGAATGAGCTCAAAGGCTTTAGAAGCTCTGGTGCTACTCACACTATATGGCAATTTTCTTTGTCTTGCCATATGACATATGTCACAGGGAGTACAACTCTTATTACATCTTATCAAAGGAAATCTACTACACATTGCTCTCAAGACAGAGCTTGAGGCATGGCCAAGTCGCAAATGCCACAATGTAGAGGCATCAGTGACTGTGTTATTTGCAAATCTAGTATCAGAAGCATTGATTTCTTCCAACCTCTTGCTGTTGTATGTTTCCAATTGAAATAGTCCATTGTATAGTTTAGCTAAACCAATCACTTGCTGTGACTTGATCTGTTTAATGCAACAAATAGAATTTCTAAAAATAAGTTCACAATCAAGTGATCGAACTAATTTTGCCACTGAGATTTGGTTAACACAAAAGTCTGGAACAAATAAAACATCAGGCAAATGCATATTTGGCAGTATCTCAACAGATCCAGAATGATGAGCTAATTTTTTTGAACCATCAGGAAGAGTAATTGAAACCAGATTAATATCATGAATAAGAGTGAAATGAGATGAATTGCAAGAAATGTGATCCGTTGCTCCAGTGTCAAGGATCCAATGGAAATTTGTCTTACTAGAATTCTGTGTCCCTGCAGGAGTAGCATAGGCTGAAATGGAATCTGTGTGAATCATGTTGACAACATGGTTATTGGAGATCTCTTCTTCTCCATTGTGAACCTTTGTCTGCTGCAACATGTTCATTATGTTTTGATACTGTTGTTGAGTCATAACCATGGCATCCTGGGATACATTTCGTTCAGTACTCTCTTCACCAAGAACTGCATTTGCAGAAACATTTCGAGGCCTCGATTTGAAACCTGGTGGATATCCATGCTTGATATAGCATGTATCCACCGTGTGATTGGTTCTACCACAGTATGTGCACAACCTATTTCCACGTGGCTTTGGACCTTTCTCCTTATTGAAATTACCATTTCGACGGTGCTGATCTGCAGAATAAGCTCTTGGTTCCATGACAGCAGATCCATGAACTTCAGAATTAAGTTGACGTTCTTGTTGTGTAACAAGTGAAAACGCATGTTCATGTTAGGCAACGGTTGAATCAGCATGATCTGTGAACGGACGTGCATGAACTGATCATTCAGGCCTTTGAGGAACCTGATTACCTGATCACGTTCTCGTCCACGTCGCATCTCATCAAGAGCTCCACAACA